AAAAAAAAAAAAAAAAAAAGAAAAAAAAAGATGTGCCATGACACCTGAATATATGCTTAGTTTGGTTTTATAACCCTGCATTCAGTTTCATTTTAGGAAAAGTTAGGTAACTTGGACAACTTGGACAAAGTATTTGGGCTCTAAGAACCTTGACTGAGCAGTGAAATAGTTTTCAAACTACACCCTTTGTTTACCTCAGGTCCTTCAACTAGCTTGCCAAGTGATGCGAGATGGCAAAGCTACTTGAAGTGAAAGCGCACAATGATGCATTTACCTGCTCAAGGTTTTCAATTCATTATGAGTTTACAATACATGCTACTCCTGTCCAACTAGTTTAACGCAGCTGATGTACAGGACTAACAAGGGCCAGACCAAAACTTTTAAAGGGATAGTTCACTCAAAATGAAAATTTACTGTTAATTTACTCATCCTCAGGCCATTCAAGATGTAGGTTTCTTCAGTAGAACAATAAAGAAGATTTTTAGCTGAAACCTTGGCAATTCATAAAATGCAAGTCAATGGCTACTGTCACTTTGAGGGTCAATAAAAGCACATACAGGCAACACAAAATGAATACTCATGGCTCCTGACCATATATTGAGGTCTTATGAAGCGAAACAATTGGTCTGTGCAAGAAACTGAACATTATTTACCACATTCTTACCTGTAATCCAGAGCCTCAGGCAAATGGGGAAGTCCAATTCCTTTCTGTGAACTGGTTCTTTTGGACAGTTTGTTTCAATGAAATGGTTCAAATAATAATTTCACCAGTTTGTTTAATTAATTATGCAATGGCGTAACGTATACGCAATTATATTATTACAGCACCCAATAATAATGTGAAATGTGGATGTTTTACTTGTCTTAAGTGAATATAAAGTGAATAAACCATTCTTAACTCACTTTTTTTTTACATAAACCATTAAAACCTTCATTTCACCCCTTCATTCAAGTGCTCGGTTCACATAAGCGCACACGACCCACTCATCGGCCTCCGGTCCGAGTCAAACAGTTTCCTAATTCAGTGACTGTTGAAAGAACTGGAGCGCTAAATGAGTTGACAATAAACAGGATTATAGGATCAGAAACGCCGGTATTTCGGCTCATTTCGAGTCGGAGTGACTATCAGGAATGTCCAAAAGTGAGTTTTGATTGAGTAGGTAAATGTTTCTGATGGTTCAGTCCGATTTGATGACCTGGTTCAACTAGTTCACAAAAAAGAACCAGTTCAAAAGAATGATTTCGGTATTTTGCCAGTTAATCAACACGGGCAAAATGCGATCAAGGATTTATTTATAATCGAGTACTCGTGACAGCCCTAATCTCAATATATTATCAGGAGCCACAGGTATTCATTTGGTCTTGCCTGTATATGCTTTTTTTGACTCTCAAAGTGACGGTAGCCATTCACTTGCATTTTATGAATCAACAAGGACCATGGTTTCAGCTAAAAAAAATTATTTATTGTTATACTGAAGAAAAAAAGTCACCTACATCTTGGATGGCCTGAGATTGAATAAATTAACAGCAAATTTTCATATTAAGGTGAAGTATCCCTTTATTGCATATTGACTATTGTAATGTTATTGCATTGCTACTGCTAGCTACTCCTCTCCTCAACAAAGAGTTTTAACAAGTACCACAAATAAACATAGGAGAGGCAGAAATTTCATCTTCAAAGATGATGACCAGAACCAGGCTACCTTACGCTATACACCACTGTAGTCATCATAGACAAAATAACCCACTGACAATACCAAAATATTACATTCCAGAATATGTTTGAAGAGTCCTACTCACAGAAGTTCATTAATGAGCACAGTTATATATATTTATTGTGGTGCCAGTGATGTTATGGTTTTGTATTGAAGCCAAGATTTTAGATTTCTTCACTTACAATCCCCTCGCAAACTGTAGCATTTGAACAGAGAGTGCTATATGAGCGGAACCAGGACACACCTTTCATACGGACAGAGATGTTATGAATATGGAGGCAGATGAATAACTGGAAATATTTCGTATTAAAGCAGTGGCCATTAAATGATGAATTAAATGTAGAAAAAATATTCTTGTTTGTCAGGAGATAGAGCCTAAAATATGAAAAAATATGACGAAATAGAGACAATTACTGTTCAGTGTGATTTGTTTTGTTCCTCTTGTATTTTAAATAGGCAGGAAGCCACAAGATTCAAGAGACTGTAACCCAGTAAGAGAGCTACAGTATAGTTTGCTTTGCCCATAGCAACTTTCCTTGATATACAAACATGAAATGATCTATGGGTTATAGGATCTATAATCTATAGGGAGATATTTAAGAAAAAAAAATCAGTTATCAGTATAAGAAAGTGAGTTAATACTATTTTTCTGTAAACTAAAACAAAAAAGTAAAAGAAGTAAACTAAAGTAGAGCAGGCAGCTCAAAGTGATTTTTCAGTGTTTGCAGCTTTTTGCAGAATGTTCGGATGCACAGGTCAAGTGTTATGTTTACAAATGGTTATGTTTATGACTCACATTAAGTTTATGGCTACAGGCAGAGAGCAATGACTAAGCTTCAGGATGAGGCAGAGGGTGGGGAAGAGAGAGGATCTCTCAAACAAAACCCCTTTCACTCTCAGAAAATTGTTGGGAGGAGGTCAAATAAATAAAAAATCAGGGATCTGAGTAAGTCTGGACAACTGTGAACTGATTATTGTGCAATTAATTACAATAGGATGTACCAGTACTTTACTGATCCATAAACATGATGTTTATTAGCTATGACAGGAAAAACACATTTACAGAGTAGGACATTTTAAAGCAGGAGTGTCTCCTGGAGGTCCAGCGTCCTGCAAATTTTAACTCCAATATACTTGCCTGGAAGACTAAGGCTAAAAAGAGTATGTTCTATAGAATCAATGTGTGTAGTATGAAGGTAATCTGGACGTAATACATTCGCCATGTTGTCACTGTCACGTGACCTACCAGCATCAGTTGCGTCTCGTCACTGCCATTCATAAATCCTCTCCCGTGGCCTCATGGGATAGTAAAGTGTCCATTCTATCTAATCACGCCGAAAGTCATCCGGGTACTTTTTGCCTACTCTTTTATGACTCCTGTTAATTCGGACATACTTCTTTTGTCACATACTGTTTTTCACCTACTATATAGTAGGGAAGTATGCAATTTTGGATGCAGCCTAAGGACTATGGAAGTAATCCTGAAGACCTTGATTAGCTGATTTAGGCGTGTTTAATTAGGGTTGGAGCTAAACTCCGTAGGACAGTGGCTCCGGGAACAGGTTTGGACACCCCGGTTTTAAAGAAACAATTCACAGATCACTTCACTATTTACTCACACTCATGCTGTACCAACCGTTTATGCTGTTATTTATTCTGTGAAACGCATAAGGATACTGTAAGTTTTCAAGTCAGCATGAAATGGAAATTTTCCCCATGTATTTCCCTATGTTTTATTTATTTATTTTTTTTTTGAGCTCATAGTTTTTAATCACATCGTCATAACTGGACTTTCTTGTAAAAATGACAGTCTTGTGAATTTCCAATCATTTAAAAAAACCCGCACCTGCAAGCTCACGTTCATCTGCCTCCACTTTTGAAAGCAGAGCCCATGAAAAGCGTAATTATGAAAAACCCAATCCATTAAACTCGGATGTGCAGTGCATGCTAAAAGAAAATACCTGGCTAAATAAAGAATGCAGGGTGGCTTACTTATTATCAGTGTTGGGGAAAGTTACTTTTAAAAGTAATGCATTACAATATCGCGTTACTCCATAAAAAAGTAACTAATTACGTTACTTAGTTACTTTTTATGGAAAGTAATGCGTTACGTTACTTTTGCGTAACTTTTTAAATCTGGACAGGGCTTGCTTGTTTGTTTTTAAAATAAAAAAGTTATATTTTTGGCAAATATAAAAGCCTTTCACACCAAAAGTGAAATCAATAAACCTCAGGCTGAAGGGAAAGTAAATTTACGTCCGTACAGTAGAATGCAGAAGAAGAAATTTCAACACACTTCAGCAATAAAAAAAACACACAAATGTTTGTCTAGAGTAATTGGTGCTTATTAGTACGGTTGAACTGGATCATCGAAGGTCAGAAGCAAAGACATTGGTTAATAGAATGGGATTAAATACATAAAGGATATTTGTGTTGTTTAACATTTAATTATTGCAGGTTTGCGTCATATTCTGAGTTGCATTATTTCTATTCATTTTGAGGAATACTGAATCTGTTTTTTTTTGTGTGTGAGTGAGTGAGTGAGTGAGTGAGTGAGTGAGATGAATTAATGCATATTCATATTTATTTTAGAACTACAGTAACATCTGATTTCTCTCAACATGGGGACCGGAGAGCTGTCAATCAATAAACTGGAAAAAAGTAACTTTGATATTCTCTTGTAAATTAAAAAGTAATGCTATACTTTACTAGTTACTTGAAAAAAGTAATCTGATTACGTAACTCACGTTACTTGTAATGCGTTACCCCCAACACTGCTTATTATCTCCAAGAAAGACAGAATATCAGTGTCATGGCTTTAACTTATCTTTGTTTTGAGCAGATGCCCTTGAATGGCATTCCATAAAGCAATAACATACAGACCTGGCCTTGGTGTTAATTATACAGGCAGAGAGAGTTTGCATCTCAGCATGTAACGCTATGATGAGTCACGGCTGAGCAGAACGCGCTCTCTTACAGCTGTTTCCCTCACTTCCTCTTGCAGCTTTCTAAACAGCCAGGCTCAAGCAATAGCATGGCGCGCCAAACCATTTATAATTCAAGCCTACAAGCGTACTTTTCGGGCAATTCTCTCGAAAACGTTAAACATACATTAGCGCGCACGGTCTGTTTTGTTGTCGTACGCAAGCAAACGTACCGTAGGCCTGTTCAACCACAGCTTACACACGCGTTCGCGTTGTGCGGGGGAGGGTTTACAACTCATATTTTGACAGCTCTCAAGCAGAACTGATTTCATATTAAAAATTATACTTTTGTACTTCGCACGACTGTAGTAAGAAAAATTGCGCAGGAGTAATCAAGAAACTCAAAACACATCGTCTGAAATTTGAGCTTAAGTTGCAATAAGTCCTTAAGCAACAATGTAACATAAAGATGTTCTAAAAATGTAACATCTAACTTTCCACAAATGTAGCTAACTGGAGATATTGAGAAGACATGCTGTACTTTAAAGACGCGTTCCACACGCCCACGCAACACTCAGGCGGAATTGTCAACACTTAACGAAGCAGCAAAGTTACAAAATATAAAGAGCGAAGATCAACTCACTGGCATGTTTAGGCGCAGGGGTCGCTTTTTCTTCGAGGATTTCTTTGTACAGTCCGTTTTCTTGGAGTCCATCACTGTACTTCCCATTTTCCTGCAGTCAGAATTCTTCTCTTAAAATTTAGGAGGAAGACGTTCTCCTCTCGCGAAATAATTCACGCCAGTTTAACGATTTTAACGTTCGTCCTCCGTGACTGAATTTTGCAGAAGCTCGTCTGACTCAAAACGAGCACAACCCGAGACTCCAGTTCTTTCTCGCTGTCACTGCGCCGTGGACATCCGCATTCAACTCCACTTCTGGCATGGGTTCGAGTCCCGCTCTGAGCAGGAGACTGCGCACGCCCTGCTCCTGCACAGGGAGAAAGACATGTTCATTTGATCTTATCTGTGTGGATTTTTACATTAGCCTACATTTTTTATTATATTAATTATATTGCTATGCTTGTAAAAGAAAAACAAAAAAAACGCAACTGTTCTTAAAGCTATAGTTCACCTGAAAATACTAAATAATTTACTCACCCTCATGTCATTCCAAACCTGTATGACTTCTGTTCTTTTGTGGAGCATAAAATACATTTTGAGAAATGTCTCAGTGTTTTTTTTTTTTCCCGAACAATTTAATTTCAGAAATCAATTTTTTTTCTCCATACAAGAACATAGAAGTCAATGGTAACCAAAACCGTTTAGCTCTTAAAGGTATAGTTCATCTAAAAATGAAAATTTGCTGCTAATTTACTCACCCTCAGGCCATCAATGATGTTCGTGATTTTCTTCTTCAGTAGAAGATTTTTAGCTGAAACAGTGGTCCTTGGTTATTCATGAAATGCAAGTCATTGGCTACCTGCACTTTGAGAATAAAATAAAAAAACTAAATTAATACCTGTGACTCCTGACAATATATTGATGTCTGTGCAAGAACCTGAACATTATTTACAGCATTATTACCTGTAATCTCTTCAAGTCATCATGATCTTTGTGTAATGGCTGTGTAGACTACTGTACACTCTAAAAAATGCTGGGTTGTTTCAACCCAACTTTGGGTCAAATATGGACTAACCCAACCATTGGGTTACATTTTTACATTACATTTTTAACCCAAAAGTTGGGTTAGTCCATATTTGACCCAAAGTTGGGTTGAAACAACCCAGCATTTTTTAGAGTGTAGATGTTCGCAAACATTGGATTCAGATTTGCTTTGATACCTTTCTACCTTAGTGTACTCATTTCACATCTACTGATGTAACTGAAATTGCAGTTGTGGCTGTTTAGAACTAGGTTTCAGTACAAATGAAACCTCATGCAAGACCCACATCCAAAAACCGGTCTCACTCATCATGTAAAAGCAAAGATATTAACAGAAACTTCACTCAGCTTATTAATAAATGTATCTGATTTATATTGTGTAAGTAAGTTGTTCGCGAAGTTGACATGTACAGTGGTGTGAAAGTGTTGGCCCCCTTCCTGATTTCTTATTTTTTCGCATGTTTGTCACACTTTAATATTTCAGATCATCAAACTAATTTAAATATTAGTAAAAGATAACACAACATGCAGTTTTTAAATGAAGGTTTTTATTATTAAGGGAAAACAAAATCCAAAACTACATGGCCCTGTGTGAAAAAGTGTTTGCCCCCTAAACCTAATAACTGGTTGGGCCACCCTTAGCAGCAACAACTGCAATCAAGCGTTTGCGATAACTTGCAATGAGTCTGTTACAGCGCTGTGGAGGAATTTAGGTCCACTCATCTATGCAGAATTGTTGTAATTCAGCCACATTGGAGGGTTTTCGAGCATGAACCGCCTTTTTAAGGTCATGCCACAGCATCTCAATAGGATTCAGGTCAGGACTTTGACTAGGCCACTCCAAAGTCTTCATTTTGTTTTTCTTCAGCCATTCAGAGGTGGACTTGCTGGTGTATTTTTTTTGTTTAGTTTTTTTGTTTTGTTTTTGTTTTGACGTGACATGTGGCCAAGTATGGTGACCCATACTTGGAATTAGTGCTCTGCATTTAACCCATCCAAAGTGCACA